TATATACAGTTTACATTTACAATATACATGAAAAAATGGAAAACTTCGAAGAATATATAATACATGCATATATAATACATATTTTAAAATATTTTCTTATTTAAAGCTGTACTTTTTGCCTGAAATATAACTCTAAATATTTTCAAGCGCTATAATAGTTATATTTCTTCCTTCTTTGATAACTCATACAACAAACAAAACAATGATTAAGAAATATATTAATTAAACATTGTACGATTTAGAATGACATTTTTTAACATAAATAATTTATTGAATATCTAGAAGACAACAGGAAACGAGTCGTAATGTCGGAAATGATCAATTAGTATTCCCTTTAAAAGCGCAGGAAAGCGCATGTTCTCATGACGATGTTTGAAACTCGCTTGACCCTTAATCTAGCGAATTACAATTATTGGACGCTGCAAAAAATTCCAAGGTCTGTGCCAAGACCGATTGCATGAATACATTTTTCGTCCGTTCCGTACGATACGTGATATATCCGAAATATAAAATACGTTTTAATCTATACTCAAAAATCTCACGTGCAGCAATTGATAAATCGAGAGAGAATTGCTGTAGAACTCCTGACGGAAAAATCCAGTGCCTGGATCTTATGCCTGTAATCTTATTTCAATTATACCAATCGTCAAAAATGTATTGCAAAATAATTAAACGGTTTATTGTAAAAAATCCACGTATAACATTTTAACGCTTGTCAATGATTTTTTTTAAGATTACACGATTGCAATCATTAAATAAAAATCGATGGTATTGTACCGTCGTTATTGATACGTACGTTTACAACACGAAAGAAAATAAAGGTTAATTTTTATTGTGCTCTTTCTTGCTTTTTAGTACTTTTAGTACTTTTCCTTTTATATTTTTGTCTTTTATCCTGTTTCATTGTTTTTCTCATAATTTTCTATTATTATATAAACGCAAAATATAATATATCGCGAATAACATTTCATAATATTGTATTTTTTCAAAATTGCATCATTATCTAATCTAGAGTTAAATATTATATGTCCCGCAACTCGTTGAAGGTAAGGTCTAGAAAATAAGAGATAATATTATACCATTATTATCATCCATACCATGATATGCGAGATTATAAACATGACTCTTTTCTTTTACTTATAATCAATTAAAAATGAAAAGATTGCATCAAATCACAGATTGAATTATGTAATATAATATCCGTCTAACATACAGCATAAATGAATCAGCAGAAAATCACTGCGACGTATGTATATAAAGCGCATGAAATAATAGTCAAGAGTAAGTGTTAATATTGTGCTAAGTAAGGTAAGGTGTAAGAACTTCTCATGTTGCGTTATATATGCGTGAAATTTTCTGATTTCTAGACAGCTCATGATACATTTTCGTAATAATTATCTTTGTAATAATTATCGATTTCAGAAAAAGTAAAT